CAACAGTTTCTTTGTCCGATCAACCACAGGACAAGCTAATTCCAGCATGGAAACGTATTAATTCCTGTGGTTAAGTTAGTTGAGTAGTCCTCATTTTGGTTCTTTGAATATCTTTGAATCACCATTTCATGGCTGCTTCAATCCCTCGCGTCCAGGATGTCCGTCTACAAGGCCACCCCTAACCCGAAGCCCCCTCCGAAATCGAGTGGCATGTGAGTAGAACAGGATGCCAACTCCAAAGTAGGAGATAACCAAAAATGCACAGTGGAACCACCCTGAGTTGACGAAGTCGCGTTCAATTGGGGCTCAATTAGTTGCTCAAAAAGGAAACTCACCAGTTGGGGATGGTTCAAATGAAATTGACCCGAACAAATTGCAAGGTGTGAATCAAAAAAATGAACCGCCAAGATTGAAGATCAATTTGTACGCCATAAAGAGTTTCCGCACTGCAAACAGATAAACAGTGACTGTTGGATCTATTCCACGCAATCCGCATCGAATGTCAGGCTGCAGCACATCCCAACAAAACCCAGCACGTCCCAGCGCCAAGATAGCGCCAAGATACGTTTGAGCTCTGCCTTAACCATGATTTTCTGTTGGAAAAGGGCTGGACCATGGTAAAATGAATCTGGAATCCAAACTATAAAGAAAGTGAACTTGAAGTTGCCAATCTTTGGAATTTGCCTTTCAACATATACAGGAAGGGCAAATTTTAAAACCGCACTCACTACTAGATTACCTAATGCAGGAGCAACTTCTCAGTTGCTCAAGCTCTGAATCCAGCTCCGAAGATCCGATCCACCGAACCACGTGATTTTCTGTTTTCCCTATTGATAAACCGTTCCTCCTGCACTTTCTACTAGAAGATGCCAACTCTCCCACTGCTCCATGGGTCTTTCGATGTTTGTCCACTGGGTCAACACCTACCCTGATGGACATCAACATTTAGCTGTGATTTATAATATATATATATATATTTCCCATTCTTACCCATATTCATGATGTGATTATTATATAATTATTTATACTACCAACATTCAACATTCAATACCAACATTTATTATTTATAAATCATTCAATTAATGATTTCATACAGTTGGTATTGATCCATATCCATCCAATCATGACCCTTTGCACATTGCCACTGAGGTTGCCACATACCACCCGGCAGGCACCTTGGCGACATTGCGGTGGCGGTCATAGGTCAAAACCAAACGGTACCCAAACGGTACCCGTTTAGTCATAGCTGGCTAATGGATGTTTATTCCCCAAAATATGGTAGTAATAAAAATAGATAATAGCTTTTGACCCATCCCCAGATCTTGAAGAAATGAATGGAAATGATGCAATTTTTACACATCTCATTCCGTAGTGACTATCCAAAGGTAAATGATTGGTTGAGACTTTCATATACTTTCATACATTGCAAACATGTAGAAAAGGACAAGACATATCACTGTGGCCAATCCATTGGGGTGTAAATCCACCATGTCATGGATGGTGAATTTTCACGGTCAGATGAGAAGACCGGTGACAACCAAAGCTTTATTGGGCCGCCATACTGGTTTCAGTACATTATATGAATTATAACTAATTATATACAAATTACATAATACGAACATTTAAACATACTCATATAATTTTGAAACATATATATATATATATATATGTGTGTGCGTGTGTGTGTCCAACTTCATGCATGAATATATACACTATACATACATTACATTTAACACATATCTCTGTATAAAACTTTGAAACAAACAAACAAACAAAGCCGCCGTGTACGTGACGCTGCACCAAGATACAATGCCTGAGTTTAAGGGAGTCTCCCGATCGTGCTGCGGTGACCCATGAGGTACAGCAAGCTGCGCGGCGCCGCGCCAGGGTCGTTGCAAAACACCAAAAAGGTTCAACCCACCGTGTCATGGGCCCCCAAGAAAGATGGGTAATGTTGGTTTATATCCAGAAATTCTATGGTGAATTGGTAGATATAGGATGGGTAAGAATATATATGTATAAATACGTACGTATATTTATACATGATCGGAACCACTTTGTAGTCCAATAAACAAAACAGAGTCCTCATGTGATGCTTCTTGAAAATCTGCATCGATTTGGACATCATTACGGACTGGAACCATATTGTCGAGATCATCAAAATATGGTTTGTCAAATCACCGCCCAAGCCTAATCGTGGGTAAGGTGATTTTACATACCCTTCATTCACACACATTCAAAAACAAACAAAAAACATACTTACTGGCCTGGCTGGACTTGTTTTTCCATTGATGAAGAAAAACACAAATCGAAAAACACAAATCCATCTACCAAACCTAGATATGTGGGTTTCTTAAAATGGGGGATCCCCAAAACCATGGGTTTTAGTGTGGGTAAAACAATAATAAACCATCCCCCAAATCACCATTTTTATAGGTGGTATGTTTACCATTCCCAAATGGGTGGTTTGTGACATTGTTTTACCCGCATTACTACAAAAATGGTCTACTTACCCGACAGCTCCAAACACCTTCTGAGACTGAATTTGGAGTTTGTTTTTGGGGTCTAAACACCTTCTCAGAGGGTATTTGGAGCACTAGGGTTAGGATGATTTACTATGATGTTTTGGAGAGTACCCCCATGACTACCTCCAAATACCAAGGTTCAGCTCTGGGCGTCCCTACTGTTCGGCCCGCGCCATGGCGTGCGTGACCCATACCATGCCGGGAGGAAACTGCACTCCCGCAAGGGAGGCAACACGACCGGAGAAGCTGCTGCTTGCAGATTTAAACATTGGAGATATGTGTATGTATGTATATCCAGCGACATCATGGGCAAGAACAGAGTTCTTGGAGCCAGGTTGATCTTTTGTATTGGACACAATCAAGATATACCTTGTCCAACCTTGACGAATTCCATGAATTTCATTCAATTTCCACAAAAAGTTTACATTCAACAAGTAAAGACCAAGATAATTGTGCTGCAACCATCAAACAATATGGGAATTTGTCTACTGGGCATACCCCACTGGTGAGTTCACAATGGGCGATGGCCACGACCCTTGTTAGGTCCGCGGCGCTACAACTACGAGCCTGATTTTGTTTGTCAGCACATAGACCTTTGCATGATAATGTTATGAGGCACGTCTCCTTCCTATATGTATGTGGATATGTACACATATCTATGTATATATATATATATCTACACATATACGGTTACGTATGTATACATAATTGTATATTTGTATGCAATTATGCATTGCTAAATACACAATTATATACTGTATAAATATATATATATATGTGACTGAATGACTGTATGACTGTATGTATGTATGTATGAATGTATGTATGTATGAATGTATGCATGCATGCATGCATGCAATGTAATGTAATGTAATGTAATGTAATGCAATGCAATGCAATGTAATGTATGTAATGTATGTAATGTATGTAATGTATGTCATGTATGTCATGTATGTCATGTATGTAATGTATGCAATGTATGCAATGTATGCAATGTATGCAATGTATGTAATGTATGTAATAATGTATGTAATTTATGTAATGTATGTAATGTATGTAATGTATGTAGTGTATGTAGTGAATGTAGTGTATGTATATAGTATATATATATACAATTAATTAACACATGCAAGATGTACAAATATATTCACTATGCAAACCCTGCAAGAGTATATACTGTAGAAAATGTTCATACAGTTGTGTGCATTTGTGGGCACTGCTTCACAGGAAACACCGTCACGTCCGTGAGTATCTCATTGCATTGAACCAAAGCATAGATGGTCCGGTACTGCACATGTATAGATACTTTGACTGGAGACGTCACTTTGGTCACTTTGAGCAATCTTGTAAGCAGAACGGCATGTTCTGACTGCATGGGTTGATGGCAATATCAGATCTGATACTCAGACATTTCAAGCAGTGAAACGCAGGTGGACAAATAAAAATGAAGCATTGAATAGTATTAAAATCATATGCAGCAATGTTCGAGGTTTCTTGTGGTCGAACATGGTCCACCTATCTTAGGGCTGATCTTGAAGATGAGGGGGCAGCTGATACCAAACCCTCTAGCTGCGACCGCGACCGCGACTGTTCGTTTTTCACGCCCAACTCGGCAGGAATGGACTGTGCATCAGCAAATTTGAGTGTAATTTGCCTCAAACAGGGAATCAATTGGTGATAGTTGAATGTTGCTGTGCCCCTTAAACATCTGATGATTTCTGAGAAATGTGAGCGTCAAATCTGCTGATGCAAACTGAATCATTTCATCAGCCGTCACTCTAAGTTTGCACCCCTGGCAGGCACAAGTGACAGTTTCTTCCCTCAAAGAGAACACACACATGCACAATGCTTCTCTTTGGCACCCTCAGATGTCTTTGTCTGTTATTTGTTGACTTCTTCCCGGAGCAGTGGTGACCCTAAACTCTAAACATTTCACTGTAAGCTGGCCCCAGTTCCAAATAGTTCCAAGGATTCGGTGCCCTTCCATGCCCTTCCGAAAGAACTGAGCCATTACAGTAGCCGGTACTACCACCCGGCGAACATCTATCACTGGCCTCACTGGCCTCATGTTCCATAGATATCTGGCTTTTGCCACTACTGGTTGATGCTTCCTGGAAGACATTTGGCCATGTTTGGCCGTGGCATCGGTGTCATCGACCCATGAAAGTGTCGAAACTGTACAGTAGCTCTTAGACTCGCAAATGGATACAGATCCACTGGATCCTCAACGTAGAAGCGACAGCATTGGAATGTTAGAACACCATGAGTTTCCTTGTGTGGCTTTCCATGACGAAGTCCCGAAGCCCATGGTCCCATAGACCCATAGACCCCAAGATCTTTATAGATTCAAAGGCAAAACAACATTTACAACACATGAAAAACCACATCTTTTCTCATTGTTTGGAACTGTGGTATTCTTACAGTATTCCGTGGAACAAACCACCACAGTTGACCCAGGAAAAGAACTTGCCTCTTCTACTGCTGTTTGACACGCAAATGCCGCGACGCAGCCTGTGAGGGAATGCCAGGGCTGGGGAAACACAAAAACCATCAGCTATTTTTTTAGCAGCTAGGTCACATCAAATAATAGTTTCACATTGGCTATATGTTCAATCAATATATATATATATATGGTATTTCTCAGGATTCTGAATATACATATATATATATATATACACGTATATATTCTATATATATATGTATATATATCAGAATTATTAGAAATACCATAAAATTCACTAGATATCAGATAAAAAAGTGTTTACATTCAATATATAAATTTAATATTAAGCAAGCCAACGGGTTAATCGTTAAAATTAAAGCCAATAGTAATTACCTGAAATAGTTTCACTGGACACCAATGCATAGCAGCCGATGTGTATGAGGACAGAATGGAACAAATGACCAAGAAGATGTGAGCAGTGCTCAAAACCTTGTGTTGTCCCTGTATACTGATTGGTACCTATAGGATTTCACACAATGGATTGCGATTGGTAACCCAATATATCATCCCCAACTGGGGAGTATAGCCCCCTTTTTTTCATCAACCAACAGGAGTTTTGAAGATTTCCCATTTCGATCTGTAAGGATAGTTGTGGTATGTAGCTGCTGAAGAGCACCAACATTACCAGGATCTGCTGCCTGGGACTTCACCACCGAAAAAACATATTCACATGTATTCACCGACGTGTTGACTTACCATGAAGAACACCCAAGAATCAAGAAAGATGTGGCAAATAAGACTTAGTCTTGAAAACCATCAGATCATATCAAATCAACTTCGACAAAACCAACAAACACACATCTTTTGTCCTAACATGATAACTGATTTTTTAAAGGTCGCTGTCAGGTTCGTTCCAACAACGTTCCCATGAGGAAGGTCAGTGGATGCTGATTAGCTGGGATGATCTTATCCGCCACATTCCCAGAGGCTAAGAACCATTCTTAAATTCCACTGTAGCTACTAAAACATGCTTAATTAATCTCTGGTTGGTGGTTGACCTGTCCCTCTGAAAAATATGAAAGTCAGTTGGGATGATTATTCCCAACTGAATGGAACAATAAACAATGTTCCAAACCACCAACCAGTAATAACCATAGACTACAACCATTCAACAAGATGAGGTGCTGGAGAAATTCTGGGGGCAAAGAGCCGGCCTTTCTGGACTTCAGCTTCTGATTCCTGTCACTCAAAAAAGGGCTTTGCCGTCACCCGAAAGAATCCCCTTGTGTGCACCAAAATAGCTGGGATGTGTGGATGTAAATGGATGACAATATGGATGTAAGTGGTTGTACATTTATGTTCATCCCCTGTGAAGTATGCGTTCATATAGACAGCTTCTGAATGGTTTTGACACATTTCCATATTCCTGAAAACACGGGAATATACCACTGAGAAAATACCCAAATAACATGTTCACAGGACGTGAACACAACATCATTTGAGTTGGTTCGGGATGTTGTGAAACTTACAGTGAACATTGGTGAACAACATTTTCGAGTTGACTTCATGATGGATGCATATTTGCATTCTTTTGTACTAGTTGTTTCCGTTGTGGTTTCAAAGTTGCTGTACAATGCTGTACATCACTTGTTGGATTATGCCATGGATCATGATTCTTTGTCCGGGAACGCCAGAGATAGGGGGAGGGATGTGTGGGTCAAAACTGGGTACCATAATCATTAGATGATTCATATACATATTATACAAATAATTCCGAATCATAGACAATACCCTCTGGTAAACGTTTACATAACTATAGAACATCACCATGATTTTTTCATGGGTAAATCCACTATTTCTATATATTTCTATGGCCATGTTCAACAGCAAACTGTGACTTTACCGGAGGGTAATAGACTAAAATCTGTCGTCCCATGTCGTCCCGGGGTCTTCAATCTTGACCACCGATGGTTTTTGTCCCGGGCGGTTGCCAGGTGGGATCATTTGGTCCCAAACATCAACAAAGAGAGCCCGGCGAATGATAACATAGCAATGGAAAATGATCCGGCTATAGATTGGTTATATTTGTTTATGATGGTTTACCATGGTTTACCTAGATATTTTTTGATGTTTCTGATGATTTATCTATTCTTTTAATGGTGATTCTCCATAGCTCCGTTAAATAAGAACGGGATATCTTTTCAAGATCAACTAGCGAAAGAACAACCAGCCCTCGACCCTTGGACCTACGACTAACCACTGGGGTCAGCGACAATTTGATTGGTGTGGCAACGGGCCGCGCAAGCACGTCACTGATGTTCATGGCTACACCGGGCCTCATTGCGATAGCGAATGGGACCATAATCCTATTGTAGGACCTGTTTTTTCTCAAGACATACTTCAAACCAACTGCATACAGCAATGATATCTGGGAGTCGGACACAGGGCCCACAAGGCAAGTCACCTGCAAGCTGGATGAAATGGGTATATTTTATTGGATAAATTTATGTTATTTCACGAACTTGATATGATATTTGGGTTTGGTACCTGCAATTTTGAAAAACCCTCAGAATATATGTTTTAGAAAGCAATTGCGCATTTAAAGTGACCATTTCGGGGTACCTATAATACCCCAGTTTCCGACACACCCAAAGGTCTGGAAGTGCTGTGACCCTTGATGTCCGGCCTTTGGGGGTCTCCCTTCTTCCCGGGCCCTGGCCTGCGGCACTGCGTACAGCAGATTGCCCTTGTACGCACAATCACCTGGTGAAACAGGATCATGGATATCATGGATCCAACGTGACCCAGATGGATCCAAATGGTAGGTTTCAGGCGGTTCCAAAACTAAATATACTTCTAACAGATCCGGGAGAATCGTGTGCGCTATACATGGGCTAAGCTATACAAAAGTTTCCAGCGACTTGGATACCCCTACTTTTGTTCACCCCGTCGGAGATCTTGGCTGAAAGCTGCAAAGATCGGTTGCTCAGCAAATGCTGAACATCGATTTCGAAGACCTTGGCTGTGGAGAGGTAACGGAGACTTTCGCCGGTCTCATTTCGGTGCATATTCAAACAGACATATCAGCACTGTTGAACACCGTCTGTCCCTTTATATTGGTTGGTTAAAATATAGGATTTCCGAAAATTGATGTTGAAAATCCCAGATATATTGGGACAGTATTTTTTTTAATAATCCTCTATTACCACCATTGATAATTATAATTACATTGAAAGATAAATTGGATAGTATAATATAATCCCCATCTTAACCATAACTATAACTAACCATAACTAACCATAACTAACCATGACTAACCATGGACCATAATTTATTAATAATATAACCATCAATCAACGGTGGTTTTGAACATTGCCATTGATACCCCAGAGGCTCCATGTAGATCTGCACTGATTTTTTTTGGCCAAATGACCCGCGAAATATTCCCATGTAATACATCAAAGTATATTATGTATATGTAAGATCTATGTATATATATATATATATTATGTATATGATATGTATGTATTTATAATAACCCCAAAAGCAATGCCGAAGGGTCGGAAACATGGACAACATACATATATATATATATTGTATACACGTAATAAAGATACACCTGTGAAACATCCTGGATTCACACGTTTTCAGCATCTTTTTGGCCAGGCCACACAGTCGAAGAGTGAGGTGAGCTTGTCGGCCTGGACTCAGGGGGCTTCGCCGGCATGTACTATATGTGTTCCATGTATTATGAGACATTAATTAATGTGATAACTGGAGGATTATAATAAATGATATGGTTATATATTATGGTTATAATAATAATATGGTTATATAATATCATTTACTGGTTGGTGGCAGTTGGTGGTTTTAACATGCTTTAACCATCTTGAAACATATGAAAGTGGGAACGGTTATCCCATAGATGGTTGGTCAATATAATTTCATATACTGGTTGGTGAATGTCTACTATAACCATTGATGGTTGAGGATTTAATCAATATGGGGATATGAATGGATATGATATAATCTGGTTGGTGGTATACCTACCTCTCTGAAAAACATGAGTCAGATTGGGATTATTATTCCCATATATTATGGAAAATAACAAATGTTTGAAACCACCAACCAGCATATAAATTCATATAAAATGTACCATGATATGAATGGATATGATAATATCATGATAAAGCTAGACCCTCCATTTGCAGCCATGAAAATGGCGGTTTACCCAATACTTTTAGTATATTTGACTTTCTTTTGCGTCTACTTTGGAGGGTCTAGGCAGACCCTCCATTTGTAGCCATGATTGAAAATGAGCAAAAGTCTCTAAAATAATGGCAGATTACCCTGACTTTCTCAGTACTTGGAGGGTCTAGGTATGTGACGGAACAACAATATGAGCATAAACGATGATCTTATAGGTCCCATGTCCCACGTCGATCATTGCTCTGTCATTCTCTAAGCAGAGCAATGGTGAATATTGAATGATCCTAGACCCTCCACATACCTCAAAGAAATTGAGTTAGTTACCATAAATTACTGATTAGTGTATCTGGAGTTAGTTACCGTAATTATACCATAAAGTTAGTTACCATAATTGGTGTATCTAATTTATTACCATAAAATACTGATGATGATTTTTTTGGGGACTTTTACCCATGAAATCATGTATATAGAGGCTCCAGCAGCTCAGCAGCCTCGCTACAATCGCTGGAAGGTGGTTGACAGTTGAGACTCACCGTGTGATCGTTCACGGTGATGAATTCCTCGGGACGTTGAACAAACGCGGTTTTAGGCTGAACAAACTAACGTTACCGTTTGAGAATTCAACGTCGCTACAGAAAATCACCATGATTTTCTAGGTAAATCATCATAGATCATCGAACTAAATGGGCCATGGTTTCCATAATCTTCCATAGTCCTATATACTATATAATCCTATAATTAGCTATATGATATCTTAAATAACCGGATAAATTCGGGGATGTTGCACCCAACAAGGATTTGGTCAGGATCGCTTCGAATCTTGGACTTGCCGGACGCGCCGAGTGTCTACAACCTTGTTCACGCCGAAGTCCGTCGGTTTCACCTGAGCAAATTTCTGCTACCGTGGCGTCACTGCACTTGAGAAGTTCCGCGAGATCAATGTGGGTAGACATGTGGATGCCTGTATGTCCAACTACAAATATCTACAGATATCTGCAGTATCCAATCGGAACAGACATTATGACTGAGCATATGTTTGCTGCTGCAGACACTGCAGACCTCTGCAATCTTACAGCTATGGGCAGGTACTCCAACGAAATGGCTTTCTAAACTCTTACCCAATCGACGGGTAATAAACATATAGATAAACAACAGAGAGGGCCGGCAAGTGCCCTTGTGACAAGCTCCAAGAACGAAGCAGCAGATCAGAACAACTCAATAGTTTCAAAATGGAGGAGATATATCAAGCAGTTGATGGTGCATAAAAAACGTGCAATGTTTTACTACGGCAAGCCGTAGGCCGTAGGTGTCTAGAATGATGTCTTTTTTCAGTGTATCCCCAGGATTTTCCGAAACAAAAACAGCTCTGGCCTTTACACTGAGCTTGCAGTTTTGGAGATCACCCTCCTGACTGCTGCAAAATTGCGGTGGCTCGTGGCCATGATCATTGGTGAAAAAAGGACTCTGGGGATTTAAGACTTCGCTCTGGAAAATGGCCCATTCATAGATGATTTATGATGATTTGTCAAAAGATGGTGACCTTCCAACAATCAAACAATCTCCGTGATTGATGAAACATGATTAAAATCCATCAAGAATGACGGGCAGCTGAGTCGTGGAGCTAGTTCCCTCTCTCTTTGCACGTGCGTGTACATGTACATGCACTCAGTCCACATGGAAATCAAAGCAGGCACGGCCCTTTTTTCAACAATATGTGTATCTTGCATCCACAGCAACCCCCAAACAGACTTTACCAAAAATGCCAAAGAGTCAAAACAAAATCTTGGTTTCACATCATGGTAAAGTTCTGCTTTTCATGGCGTATCCATCGTCCCGTCCTGGCTGAAGCTCAACTCCGCTGTAGCGTTGCAGCCGCCACTTTGGCATGCTAAGGTGCTGTTCACCGCCTGCCGAGTGGTTCATAGCATTTCTTGTGGTGGCCACATGGGAGTGGGAAAGCCTGCCATCAACATACAATGGCAAAGCACCCATGACTGGGGATGGTGACTATACAACTCATTTCAGTTATGACTTGGGGATGGTGTCTATGGATGACGATTTGGCAATTTACCACATTATGGGCTAAACACGTGGCATTTGATGCTGATCTCATAGGATTTGTTTGGGATATATGATGGGAAATTGATTTAGCATCTGGTAAATAACTGGAAATTCACTATGTTTGAACATGGACAATCATCCTTTCCGAAAAAGTGTCATGGCTTCCATAGAGTTGGGTGACCTCTTGAGAGCAACTACTTTTGTAGTGCACATGGCGACTTCTCTTGCAATGGTTATCTTACTTTTGAAGAATCTTTGAGAAGGGGGTATACTTCCTTTACGAAGCCGAAATAACGTTGTCACCTTGTCGTACATCTTACGCACAAAAGCTGTCAAGTTAACCTGTCAAAAGCCGTGCCCGGATACGCACGAATCCTCTACATCCATGGCTCCAGTGAACACTATCCACTATCAATTCACTATAGGCAATCTTTCTTAGCCTCAAATGCACTAACAAAAATGGCAATTGACATGTCCCCATTTATAGATGTATCATGATTTATCATGATAAAAATCCCAGAAAGAATCATGGTTTTTTCGGGGAACTCCCGGCTGTGGTTTCCATGGGTTTTCTCCCAAATTACATCCCAAGTCTATCAAGAAAGTAGTACTTTTTGGTAGTTGCTACAAGGGATTGCCAGAATTATCATCATTTTGGATCATTTGTGTAGCCCAATAACATCCAATAACTATATCAATGATATCCGGATTGGAGGACAAAACCATCGCAACTCCTTGGTCCAGTTTCTTTCGTCGGCACCTGCTGTCGGTATCCGTCGTGCAACAGCATCGCTGGATTTCCAGGATATGGCGACTGACACGCAGGGCGCAAGGGTCATGTTTCATCGTTGACCCACGTCTCAACAGAAAGATGGGGAGGAATCAAAACTATAGCATTGATTTGATTTTACCATGGTGATTTAACCATAGAAACATGGAGGTATCATGGAAATATGATGGATATAGTGGGATATATCACCAACACATATAGATGTTGGGGGATGAACATCGATAAATCGAGCGATAAATCCCAGCTTTTGTTGGTGTAAACAGAAGCAGACGGGTTTGACCCATGGGCACATGAGGAGGGAGGCCACCAGTTGAATATCCCGTCATGGCTGTTTAACGAACTTTAGGCTAACTGAGGTACTAAAGTGAACTTATTGAATACACATATAAACAGTTATTTATAGTCTAACTTGACACTTGGCTCTGGTAACTGGTGAAGTATCTGAGATCTGTGTAGTGACTGGTCTGCCAGATCATCATTAACTCATCTCTCGCAAGATAAAATAGACCGAAATAGACAAATTGCCTGGAATTTGAGACTTCAATGCGATACTTCCTGATCTTCCTGAGCTTTTGGACATGGAAATATTCGAAAACCATGGAGCCCCATAAAGGAAACGATGGCAAGGCCTTCTAACCTTCACCATGGTCACCATGGTAACCATGGTCCCTGATCCTAGTGAGTCCTGGCTGAGTCGATGTTTCAATGAGATACCCTAAACGGTAAACACTGTCACAGGCACTGCGAACTTGAAGCCATGGCCGTTGAAATAGTGGATTCACCCAGCTAGAGCATGGATTGGTTTAAGGGAAAATTTACAGGAAATCCCCATATTTAATGGGAAAATCTATGGTTTCCTGTAGATTTTCCCTTAAACCAATCCATTGACAGCTGGAACATGGTGATTTTCCAGTTCGCGAACTGTAAACGTTTACCAGAGGGTAGGATTGATATGGACATACAATGATCTACAGTCAATCAGGCATTTTTTTCCCATGTTTTCCCGGTGACCAGAACATGATTCAATGATCTGCACACATATTATCCCATATCGCACCTACGAGATTATGCGGTAACGTGTGCCAAAAAACAGGGCTCATGTCAAATCTTGGGAACTCAGAACAGCTCTTGATGAATCAGTTCATGATTACTTTCACATGTCTAAATATATATATATATATGTATCATATACATAATATATATATAATAGAAATAATATCTATATAATTCTAAATAATTCTATATAATATCAGGTTGATGGTTTCAACCCCTCTGAAAAAATATGAGTTCGTCAGTTGGGATCCTTATTCCCAATATATGGAAACATAAAATTCCATGGTTCCAAACCACCCATCAGATCTATTCCATGATCTTCCCACTGTTAAAAGTTCACATCACCCAAGCTGTTCACATCACCCAAACCTTGGGCCGGCCATAGGCATCATACTGACTTACCGAGGCGTCGAACCTTGGAAAACCATGGTTTAACCGGATTTCTAGGCGTCATACCGTGGGAGATCAACACAAAAATATTGTATCATATATATATATATATACACACTAATTGGTGGTTAATTAGATTGTTATTATGGTTAATATGGCCAATAATTATTATATATATATATATTATATATATATATATTATATACTAATTGGTGGTATACCTACCCCTCTGAAAAATATGAAAGTCAGATTGGATCATCATCCCAACTATTGGGGAAAAAATGTGCCAAACCACCAACCAGTATATATGATATTAAAATCTAATAATATCTAATATATGAAGAGAGTCGTCCATTTTACGAAACTATTCATAGATCTTCGTGGCGCGCATCGATGGAAACAGAGTCAACCTACAGTATCCCAAGACAGGTTCAGCCGGGTTCAGCTACAGAAACATTGGATCATACATGATCATACTGTAGCTCATTAAGTTGTACAATATTTCACTAACCTGAAATAAGACTGTGACTATTTGGGGATGATTCCCCTAAAATAAACTATGATGAACCAGGGCTCGGTCGCGACGTGAGGTCGGTATAGTTTAGATGAATCCAGCTTGTTTCTACCAGAAATCCGCCGGCCTGCCGGCGAGTCTTGTGGATCTTGCCTGGTCTAACTTGAACCCAACCCCCCCCCCCCCCCCCCCCCTCCCGCCCCGCCTCCCCGCCCCCCCCAGCTTCATCTTTCCTTTACGTTGTGGTGGGCTCAACTCTGCCCACGCCTCGCTCCCGGCTTGGTTTTGCATATGTTGCTGTCATTTCGATGGTTGTTTCCGTTTTTTTGTGTTTGCCACCGGTTTGCTCCGTCGCTTCTTATATCCAATACTAGATCCACTGGCTTTTGTACCAAACACCATTTACACGCAAAACCTTTCTAAATATGACCTTTTCCAAAGCCTTTCTCAATATGGCTTTTTCCACAACCCTGATTTTACAAACATGCTTTGGCTTAAACTTAATCCGTGGCTTGAACGAAACCAATGCTTTTGTGTCAAAACCGTCTTTTACACAAAGAGCTGTTTTACACAAAAGCCGTCGTATGCACAAACGCACTGTTATACACAAAAATCCTTCTTGCTGGGCCTGTGCAAGGGCTGTTTGCGGCTTACAGGATAGCTCTTTCAATGGTGGCCGGCGGAACACGTCGAAGGCGGTTAAATATCCAGAAATGATGGCAATTTCAATGGATAAATTGATGGTAAAACCAGGTATTTAAGATGATGAACAGGTGGAGATTGGGGAAACTCAAGATTCGGCTCAGCTCCAGGCCAATTCGCTTGCTTTTTGGCCGAGCCTTTCAGTAAGTGCAACAGATCACCACCTGTGGTCTTCTGCAACTCTGCTTGCTCGGCATAGTGGGTTGGGTAGACATAGGAGTCGATAAAGTTTCCTGCCACGGCGCCGTTTGCTCTCTCCAAGGGTCAGAAAGAGAGAGAGCAATCACTTTTTGTTTTTAAGGTTTCATTTGAAGTTCAGCTTGTCCATATAATTTTGTTTTCACTGCTTGATTTAGAAGTTTAGCTTCTCACATATTGTCTCAAGCCTTGAATGAAGTTTGCACCAGCCTGTCACCTATTTTGATCTATTTTGCATGGTAAAAAACTTCAAAGCCACCCTTTAACAACCCAAAACATGGGGTAACGCGGCTGAAAAATCCCTGGGAGCCGCGGTGTCCGCGGTGTCCGCCCCGCCCAGCGTTGCCTGCTGCATTGCGGTACCAAGTGCCTGTGGCTTGTGCATGGCCGTAGGGACCATTCTTCGGCTCCGGGAGTGTCTGGTAGGCCTCATGGCGAACAGAAAAATTGTTCAACTGAGATTTGGGTATGGATCAATACCTATTAATACCATATTTAGGGGAATGAACATCCATTTACCAGCTATTTTGATGTTCACCAGGGGGATAGGGTTTTGACGCATCCCCATTCGATGCTGAAATCCTGTGAGAAAAAAAACATGGGTTCCCTTTCGGAAACAAAAAAAGTTTTTCATAGCTTTTCTGGATGTGGAAATCTAACGGTTTAACTTTATGAACATGTTCCAAAATGATTCACACCACCTTGGTAATTGCGGTGCCTCAAATTCTGGGAGTGGTGTTAATTCATCTCAGAAATGATCCGTGGAAGAGTGTCAGTCATCCCACCTAAGAATCGAGAAGGGCAAATCTGAAACATCCTGAAACCACATGTCAGTCACGGATTCAGTACTGTTTTGATAGTGTTGTATACGTTGCAATACGTGGGTAAAACAATGCCATGAACCATTCCCAGTCATCGCAATTTTTATAGGTGGTATCAACTTACCATTCCCATTTCCAAAGGGTGGTTTAAGACATTGTTCTACCCTCTGGTAAACTAACATAACTATGGAAAATCACCATTTTTGATGGGAAAGTCCACTATAAATGTCCATTTTCAATAGCTATGTTAAATTACCAGAAGGTACCCACATTACAAACAATATTTCAAGAACAGGATGAAGATTCGGTCACACCAAATCACCATAGATAGATTGTAGAAACAATTCCCAAAAAATGGGTAGTGTATGACATTGTTTTACCCACGTTACAAACAATATTGTAATAACCATTAACTAGCCATGAAAACCACCATTAATAACCATTAATAACCATTAATAACCATCAACCACCATTAAAATCCATTAAATGCATCATCATGAACCATCATTCCCATGTTTTTGTTGGGTTGATTTCTACCTTGTAAAATGGCTTAAAATGGCCTGCTCTGCACCTGCTGAGGACAGAGTCGCAAACCTCAGAGACTATGCATGACAGGTATATTACTGGTATCTATATACAATATCCATTGGGACTGATTGGGACCAAAATTGGAACTATTGGGATCTATATATATATGTATATATTGATTTGTCGTTTTCTAAATTGGTTTTACGCAAAAAAAAACGATAAGTGCTGGAGTTATGACAGAGATTGCGTAAAACAATTCTGTGGGCAACTTCAAACAACTTTGAACATCGAACACAAATGCCATCCATTACCATCCACCGGTCCTTCCAACATGGGGGTGGGTCAACACCATGGTACTTCATGGCACCAAAATAGCTGGTCGAGCTGATACAACGGTTGGCGGTTGACCTACCCCTCTGAAAAATATGAGTTCGTCAGTTGGGATGATGACATTCCCAATATATGGAAAAAAAACATGTTTGAAACCACCAACCAGGATAGGTATCACACATTCCGCTGGAACCATCAGTGGCATTCCCTCGTAACCTCATGGCATCCATGATTTATTTTGTTCGCAAAAAAGGAGCAGTTTCCAGCGCTAAAAACTGGGGGTGTGATAGGCAATGACCACTGACTGATGATTTAGGGTATCATCTGACAGGTCGGCAAACCACAACGGTCAGATACCACCGTACGGATTCCTGTGGCCCTCGGGGATTGGCCAACAGACATTGGCAGATTGGCAGATTGGCATTGCTCAAAACATGGATATATATTGATGGGGGATGCTCGGGCACAAATGCATACAAATGCATGGTCATTTGAGGTGCAAAACCACCCAAATTTGGACAAGCCTGAAGCTTAAACCATACCCAGCCCCACTGGGTGAAAAATCTTCTCCCAGCGACAACACGTCGACCACTCGGAGGAGGAACAACAAACAAACCTAATTGATTCGATACCACTGTTCCCGAGCAGTCTTTCAAAACAATAATTTACAATACCCATATGCTCCATGTATAGTATATTTATATATATTTATCTACATTTGGGCCATTTGTGGGGTAAATGTAGGTAAATATTCCATACATGGAGCATATGGGAAATGACATGACAACTTTCAATCCAGTGACAATTCATGACACTTAGAAAACTACCATCAGCCATATAAAAAACGATATTTGTTACCGTTTAGGAACTGGACAATCACCATTCTTCTTAAGAGATCGAAAAAGAGAATCACCACTGTAGTCTTTGGATTAATTCTGGGGACCCGAGCCATTCAGGAGCCACCTGCGGGTGATGTTTCTACATGTTGTTTCGAGATTTGGAAAGATATTGAAAAAACTGTAGCTTTTTAGGAAGTATACTTGGATCTGTATTTTCAGGTTTCAGCTGGGGTTATCTTATAATCCCAAATGGACTGATAAACCTATGGGGCAAAACCAATACCGTTAAGCTAGAGACTCAGCACTTTTTCCTCTGAGCCGCAATGCTGTCGTACATTACTATTATACATGTGTGTTTTATGTGAGGTGCTTTTACACCCCCCTCAGGTGAGCCGGTTACGGCAAGGATGCCACAATACCGGGCGAGGTTTTTAAACCTGCCTCACCGAACTGGCTCTTTGCAGACCCAAGGGAAAACACAAACAGCGGCTATTATACAAAAACGATCGTCAATGCAAGCAGTTTCACAACTTATCCCTCTTCCCACTCAACTCGGCCATGCCTGATGACTTTCTCGTACCAGCGCCCGTGCCACTTCTGCCATTCTCCAGTGTAACGGCGATCATCGTGGGACTGACTTTGCTGAGGGCGGTTGATCCACTGACTTGCAGACGTTGATGATGAAGCTACCTCTACAGTGGATGTTCGGGCAACCGGTTTGGCGGTGCCTTTCTTGGAGGGACCTTGGCCGTACGCACCAGTCTGCTCAGCTTTGCGCTTGGCCTCGTTCTGTTCGCGAGCCCTGTCAGACTGTTTCTTCTTCTCCGCAGCGTTCTGCTTGTACAGCTCCTCGTTTTGTCCCTTAATCCACCTCAAATGCCGTTCAGCATCATGAACAGCGATGTTGTCAACGCCAGTACAAGACAACAAAAGGTTGTGCTGGGGATTCCGGTTCAGGTAGTCAATGTACTCTTCCTCGGAGTAGATTTCCGTCCGGTACATGTAGAACCATGGCTGGTCGATGTACCTGAACGATTTCGGGACGTCAAGACGGCTTGCCATATCCAAGTAAACCAGCCTCATAGCATTGTGCTCCAGCTGAGATTGCTCAGAAACACCCATCTTGACCTGAGCCTTGGTACGACCTGGCTTCGGCAGATGTGCAGACTTGAGGAGGTCGTACCGTTCACAATCGTACTCGTTCTCCCCCTCGTTCAGCACGCTCTCTGCGAATGTGGCGTCCTGGGCAAACCTGTCAGCCACAGACACATAGCCCAAGCTCAAGGCGCGATTGAATCGACTCTTCGCCCTTGCCAATAGACTGGCTTCAGGACTCGAGCTTCCTCTTGCCTGGTCGTCCAACAAACTCAAAGATTCAAGCTGACTGTGTGTGATGCTCTGCAGGTACTCGCCACGAAAGTCATAGTACAAGCCCAGCTTGTGAAGGGCGGCCTTCCTGCGTTCTGCAATCTTGGTTCGGTCGGCCTTGTTCACCCCTTCGAGCATCAATCCACACACATCGCATTCAATCTGTCCCTTGAAAGTCTGTGCAAAACATCTTGAACATTGCGTGACTTCAATCTTGACCGGCACCGGCTTCTTGTCCTCCTTCTTCACCTCTTTCTTCGAAGGTTGGTCATCGCCTTTAGGGCGAGACTTCTGCTTTGGCACCAGTGACTTGGATGTTGATGCCGGCGTCTTTGTGGGTGACTCTGCAACTGGAGCTTTTGGATCTTTCTGTACTGAACTGCCTTTGGCGGTGCAACTTTTGATACAGGCTCCAAGAAGGCCGCAGCTGATGATGCCGCAGGCACAGCTGCGGGCGCGCTTGTCAGGGCTGCCTTCTTCTTTGCAGGTTCATCCTTTGCTGCTGCATCAACTTCTGAGGTCACAGCTTTTGGAACTTCTGGTGCATGAGGTGCAGAAGTTCCTTCCTTCGGTGATGGTTTTGGAGGTACTTTCGGCGGTGTCTTTGGGCTTTCAACCTTTGCTGCAGGAGGCTTTGGAGCTTCACCTTTCGGAGGAGGGGGCAACAATCTGCTGCTTGCATATCCAGGCATACCGGCGAGTTGGGCCACATTTGGTGGCGGAGGCTTCACCTTTCCTGGGAAAAATGCCGTTGCAGTGGGCGCGCCAGTTGAGGCGGCCGGAGACTTGGAACCAGCCCGTGTTGATGCCTTGGCCTCAAAGGTCTCGACAAGCTTCTGGACTCCAACTTCTCCCCCACTGCTCGCTGCAGACTGTGCGACCTCCTGCTGGCGACGATACAAATTCACCTTCTTGGCAGTGTCATCGACAGAAATAATGTATTGCGGCGGGACGACGTCACTTGTAAGAATGCCGTCGGAGGCTGTCCTGAAAAACACAATTCCAGCTTTGACAGCTTCCGCCATGGCGACCCTGATTTCAATGGGTCGTTCAGCACGCAGGCCGCTGACATACTCTTTCTCGTCGACACGCACTTCGCTAAAATAGGAGTGTGCTCTGCCTGATGAATTTCGTTCTCCTCCTCCAGCCACGAAGCCATTCTCAATGATGCCCTTCCAATTGCCTTTTGTAGTCCTGTGATAAACTACGCCAGGGCACATCTGAGGAGTGGTAATCTTTTTACCTTTGGCGTTCATTTTCTGGATCGCTGCTGCTCCAGACAGAGCATAGATTTCCACTGCATTGAACGTGTCCTCAGCTGAAGCGGCATCCATGGCACGTTTTGTGTGCCCCTGCACTGCACGGATCCTGATGGGCCAGTAGGCTAACCCTTTACGGGTTGCCTTCTGGTACCCGGCAATGCACTGGAACTCAAAACGGCACTTGCTGTCCCAGTAGAGAAGGGAAATGAGCTCTTCAACTGTCATTCGGGGCAACTTGGCTGGCAGCATTTGGTTGAACATTCGAAAGAAGTCATCAAGGTCAAGCCACATGTTTTCATCAAATCCAGAGGTGTCCTGACCAGGCTGTCCACGCGTCACTGCATTGACCTTGGTCTTGTGTCGGTCCATGCGATCTGGGTACCTCAGCTCCTTTGCCCCATCCATCTCCCAACAGGTTTTGATGATCAATTCGTAGGGATGGGCATCAACGACACAATGTTCAACTACTTCTGTATTGATGTTTTCGTCCAAAGTGATACGATATTTGTCAAGGTGTCCAAGTGCATGTTTTGGAATGATGGTACCCTTGATCTCGTTTTCTTGCAGGGGCTCACCAGTTGAGGTGGCCTGAGTTGAATCCTCCTGTGTCGCTGGAGCTTTCGCCTTGGGGTCAGGTGGAGCTGCGTGGCTGGCCTTGGCCTTGCCCA